TATACATTTTTCCAATTATACTGCACTTTGCCTCGAGGTGACATTTTCTCTTTAGGAATGTTAGGTTATGGTCTGGGCTGGCATCCAGTTATTTGGGTAAGCCGGTGCATTGTTACACTACTCCGATGTGTTTTTACATAATTCTCTATCAATCCAGCATGTAGACTGGACACCTGATGTGTACGTTTGTTCTAAGTCAGTGGCTCATGAAGTGAAGTTAGGTCATAGATAATATCCTTGGAACATGCAATTCAGAAATGGTAGTTCCAGTATTTCTGTCCTGTCTGGTTCCCTTTAACCCTTTGTAGATGGCAAAACAGAACTGCTTCCAGTTCAGTAAGCCTTACCTCGGCTGCATTTCCGCCTGCTATAAGCTTATGCTTGCTTCAGCAACCATGAATAGCAAAGTACAGTCCTCTTGACAGAGTTGCTTAATGAATTGCTGTCAATTCAATCAGCTGATCACAGCCAGTCATAAGAAATGTGACTATTCGTGACAAATTTTTATGGCCACATTGGATAACTGTATTACTGTGTATGTGTGTACAAAGATGATTATTAGATAAAGGGTTTATCACATTCACTGGAATTGTTGTACTTTTGTTCATCAGGATAGGTTACTCTATATCTAAACAACATGTGATTTTCCATTGTTATGCCCATATACAGGGAGATCAATTGGATTTTCTTCCGGTATCCAGTTAGAAGTCTGTTTTCCTGTTTTCTAATTTTTTTGTATATGGGTCTGTTGCCCTAGTAAAGTTATATTACCAGTTACAGCAGAACCACATAAAAAAAAATATATAGTGTGTTTGTATATTGGCACATTGGCATATGCGATTTAATGTTGAAAAAAATGTAAAGTTATGCACATGGGTGCAAAGAGCGAGTGTGCAAACTACTATCTGGGGGAGTCTGCATTATGGAAGGCAGACATGGAAAGGGACCTGGGAGTGCTCATAGATCACAGATTGGCATGCATTGCCAAGCAGCGGCCAGCAAAGCAAACAGGATACTATCCTGCAGTAAAAGAGGGATTGTAGCAAGGGTTAAGAGAATAAAACTTCCACTTTATAAGTCACTGGTTCGGCCTCATCTTGGGTATGTGGTGCAATTTTGGTCGTCAACTCTCAGGAAGGACATCCTCGAGGGTGAGAGCGTTCAAAGAAGGGCAACAAAATTAATCAAAGTGATAGAAGGCCTGAGCTATGAAGACCGCCTCCAACAATTAAACCTATTCTTCTTAGAAAGGAGGCGATTAAGAGGAGGCCTTAGTGCAGTCTTCAAAATCATCAATGGGGACAACAAGTTGTTTTCACCGAGAACAGTACTGAGAACACGAGGACATAACAAGAGATTAGAAGAGAGGGTTTTTTTTTTTGCTATGCGAGTAGTAAAGTGTGGAATTCCCTTCCACAGGCAGTTTTATCCACTGATAAAGTAGAAAAGTTCAAGAAACTTCTAGATGAGTTTTTCAGTCACTAAATATACAAGGATATGGGAAGTGTTAAATACACATAAGTACAAACACGTTGAACTGGATGGACCTTGGTCTAAAATAATTTTAATTTTGTAGCTTTGCAGCTTGAAATGAAGACAGACACAGTTTTTGTTTTATCCATCTTATAACATCCAAGTGATAGAACACCAACATGTCAGAATAAAAGTAAAAAAAATAACAGAATCACTGAGTTGGAAAAAGGATCACCCCCTTGTGTCAGTATTTTGTTGAACCACCTTTTGGTTTAATTACAGCCTTTATTCCAGGGGTCTCAAAGTACCAGCCCACGGGCCAAGTTATCACGTACCTGAGGATGAGACCAGAAGACGGGGAGGCGTCTCTTGCGACTCGTGTCCTGCGACCCCTGGAGTTGGCGGACAGGAGGACGCAGGGCAACAAGGAGCATGAGTGCCACAAGCTGGAGACAGGCACCGTGCAGGAGACTTTTTGTAGAGAGGTCAGCAGGCCAAGGGTCAAGCCGGGCGGACAGCGTAGGAGCAGACTCAGGAGCCAGAAGTCGAGGGAGCCAAAGGTCAGATCCAGCCGGGCAGCGAAGTACAAAATCAGTAGGCAAGAGCAAATCCAGAAAACAGGCCGGGGTCAGGGGCTGGCAGCAATCAGAAGAGTTGTCCAGGGCAATCCAAGTCAAGCAGGTCATAAGCGGATAACAGGAACACAAGCTGACAAGACCATCAGCAATGAGAGGCAGGCAGGCTCGTCCTTATATAGTCACCGAATTAAGGCAGCTACCTCACTTCCTGTGCGCCATCCGTCCACGCGTCTTCCCGCGCACCCCGCGCATAGGAATTATGGCGTGCTTCCTGCGATTGGGCCTTTGCGCATGCGCGGCCGTCATTGTGCCTTTACACAACTCCAGCCCGCGAGTCGGTACTACGTGGCCAGCTGACAAGTCAGGCACGCGGTCAGGGGAGGGGAGTGTATTAGTGTGGGAGGGGTTGTATTTTTCTATGTGTGTGTGTGTATTAGGCCCATTTCACACCTATATTTCAGGTGCGATTAGGGATTCCTGTGTCAGGAACTTGCGCTTTGCTGCACAGGAATCGCTAATCTGCCATTTACATGCAGCAACTGTCACCCATTCAAGTTAATGATCAGGTGACACCCGCTGCATGTACACACCTGCATACCACATGTAATCTAGGGAGAGTGATTGATTCCTAACTGCATGTAATCATACAGTGGGGCAAAAAAGTATTTAGTCAGCCACCAATTGTGCAAGTTCTCCCACTTAAAAAGATGAGAGGCCTGTAATTGGCATCATAGGTAGACCTCAACTATGAGAGACAAAATGAGAACCTATGATTACATGCGGTTTGCAGGCGTTTACATGCAGCTGGTGTCACTTGATCATTAACTTAAATGGGTAACAGTTGCCGCTTGTAACGTGCAGATATTGACACTGGTACCGTATATATTAGCAGCCCCCACGGGACTAAAAAGTTTGTCCAGTGGCCCCTGAGTAAATTAAGTTTGAGACCCCTGCTTTAGTCTGTTGCGACATGTCTCTACTAACTTTGCACATCTAAACTTTGCAATATTTGCCCACTCTTCTTTGCAGAACTCAAGTTCAGTTAAATTTGATGGTGACTGTTTGTGGACTGCAGTCTTCAAGTCATTCCACAGATTTTCAATGGGGTTTAAGTCTGGGCTCTGACTAGGCCATCCAAGGACATTCACCTTTTTCTTCTTCAACCACAGTGTGGTCATTTTTGCTGTGTGCTTGGGCTCATTGTCATGTTGGAAGGTAAACCTTGTTCCCATTGACAACTATCTGGCAGAGGGCGGCAGATTTTCCTCAAGAATTTGACAGTATTTTGCCCCATCCATTTTTCCTTCTATCCTGATCAGTGCTCCAGTCCCTGCTGCAGAGAAACACCACCCATAACAGGATATTACCACCTCCATGCTTTACTGTAGAAATGGTGTTATTTGGATGGTGGGCTGTATTGGATTTCCGCCAGACATATCGTTTGGTATTGAGCCCAGACAATTCAATTTTAGTCTCATCTGACCATAACACCATTTTCCATGTGGCCTCAGAATCTTCAAGATGCGTTTTGGCAAAGCTCAGTCATGACTGCATGTGACTTTTCTTGAGGAGTGGCTTTTTTCTTGCAACCCTCCCATACAGTCACATTTGTGGAGAATTTGTAATATTGATGTCACATGCACACAATGACTATTCTTTGTCATAAATTCCTACAACTGCTTCAGAGTTGCTGTAGGCGTCTTGGTAGCCTCCCTACCAAGACCAGTTTCCTCCTGGCTCTTTCATCCAGGTTGGAGGAACGTCCTGATCCAGGAAGGGTCTGTGTTGTACCCAATTATTT